CACATCTTGTTCATTCTATAGCCTCTGCATAAGATCAGAAATGTAAATTCGTACGGCTTCTCTTCCTTGATTATTCGAATACCTTTGGAAGCCTGGATAGACCAATGTTGCTAAAGCTGCTATCCACAAATTGAGTCCACCCAGGGGTGCGTAATCTGTTGCGTGACTATTTTACGGATGGTACTCACTTTACCAAGTTGAACGGTCTTCTGTCCTCCGTGCCGACTGTGGTGTGCTGCAGAAAGCTATCCTATCACCGTTTCTACTTTTCTTATATGTTGAACATTGCCCTATACAACCCATGTTTATAGTGTGTAAGTAGGCTGATGATGTTATGCTCGGATGTATGGTTCCCACTAACCAGGATTCTTCATCACTCCAAGGTGGGTTAAAAGATCTGGCGGAATGGTCTACATGCAGATATCGTACTCTTAATGCTTCTAAACGCAGTGATGTAATACTTTCCTTTCTACGTGGCGATAAGTTGCAGTCCCTCACAGATTTCTCTCCTACCCTTACTGTGGATGAAAATCCCATACCCAGCTATTCCAGCGTCAAGTACCTCGGCGTCCTTTGTCCCAGAACCTTTCTTGGTCGGCGCATGCATGTAAAATTTTTCAAAAAGTCAGCAAACGTTCATTTTATGCCCTCAGACTTAAGGTGCTTTCAGCATCTCCTACTTAAATATTCAGGTTTGTGACCTCTTGTATAATTCCCCATAGGTTATACTGTTCTCCTGTCATTTTCCCTGGACTGTTTCAGAAAGACTACATCTTATTGGTGCGATCTATAAAGCACGTTTCTAAATGCAGCGGCTTGTATAAAGATTCTTGATGATTTGATCCTTTCTAGACATCAAGTCTGCAATGACTTTACTTCTAAGGTACTAACTGATCGATTTCATCCACTTCACTATGATCTTAACAAAACGCTCTCTTTCTCTTCAACTTGTTCGAAATCCAGTTTTATTCTCCTGCACGTCACCGCATTGTAATACTGTTTTGCCTTATCTCTCACGTTTGTCTGCTGACCTAGCAAAAGTCACTACCATGCTGCGCAAGCGGTTGTTAGAGTAACAGTTGTGAATTTTTGCATTTTTCTCCCCAAGCATGTATACTGATATTATCATCCAGGTGTCCACAGTGGTGGTGTAAATGCTGAAAATGAAACCATTAAGGTTCATAAAGCTTTTCTTAATTTGATCTGACTTGACTTGACTTAGAGCGTACAGTTCAATACGGATTTGTGAATTCCGATCACTTAACAGTCGCTATATCTGACGTTGCCGGGGGTTACGCGGCAGCAAAGCGTCGGTAGTGCGTACCGACGTACTCCTGATACCTTTTGATAGGAAGCTGCTTACACCTTTCAATAGTCCTTTTCATGCACCAGCTGGATAAATGGCTCATCGAGATAACTCCTAGTGGACACATTCGGGCATACTAATTGCATGCAGATGCTCCAAACAGGGGAAACGCAGTAGGTGAAGCGAATGGTAAAACTTACCATCGATCTTCTCATCCTTCAAGACTAAAATGAGATAAACAAATAACGTTTTGTAGCTATGGTAAATGTTAATTAGACTACCATGGATTTTCCTGTACAATGTGCTGTGAAGGCATTACAGTTAGGCTAAAAGTAAATCTAGTGTTGTAAGGATTCCTTAGTGCGTCGTGCCGTACGTTAAATTTCTTTGAAGCAGTGAACCTATTTGAAATAGTTTGTAATCAATAATCTCTAGAGTTACTCAGGTATGATTGGCATGTGTTCACTATTGGCTCACTACGTCTGCAATGGTGTGAGGTTAATACGATTCAACTGTTTCCTCAAACTATCATTTGGTAATGCAAGTTTTGTATCTTACCCTGCTTATATGCTTCCGCGACCGCCTTCATTTCGTCATTCCACAGGGTGACCATCACTTCGATGAGTACACGTTCGTTGGTGCCGTGGCCTTTCATTGCGTAGTACAATGCCTTTGCCAATAAATATGGCATGTCGTGGACCAGCTCACACAAGACAGTTCGAAAATCCCCGCTTGTATCATCCTTAAGATCTTGGCGTAGACTCTATGAAAGCAAGGTAAAAGTATACTTTGTGAATTGACTGAATGATATCATGGAATTGTCTAAATCGGATAAGGGTATTTGAAACTATTGAGTGCTAGCTGCACCACTGCCCACTTAAACTTCCGAGCATTAATTCGAGAAACGGATAACTTTGGGGATTATGCAGAAACAGCCAGCATATAAGCTGATAGCACCTGAAGTATGTTTGTTAAGGATGTTGAATCCGTGTAACACAAATGATTGCATATAATCACATTGAACCCATTAACAGTTCTGAATGGCTCCACCCCATGGTTACAGTCCTCAAGAGGGACGGTACAGTGAGAACATGCAGTGACATACAGGTCCTAAGTCATCAAATCGTGGTAGAAAACTGTGCTTCCTATCGCGGATGAACTATTAGTCAAAATAGCCGCGCCCGATGTTTTCAAAATTGAACCTGAGGAAGACATTCCTTCACATGTTTCTAATTTCGGAGTCAAGACTGCTGATCCCATTTCTTACTATGGACAGACTCTTTCAGTACAAAGTCTTGCCAATGGGCTTGGGTTCAGCTTCAGCAGCTTTGTACAAGTTTATGGTTCACTCATTTGCCAATTTACCTGGTCAAATAGTATCCATGCACGACATCTGGGTATTCGATAGGACTTCAGAAGAAAATGATTCACGACTGCATGCTCTGTTACGTCGACTACATGATCTTAAACTCCGGTTAAACATCGAGAGGTGCAATCGAGTTCCTGGGCCACATGATAACAACTGATGTTATGAAGCCGAGTGTTGACAACAGACGTGCCATAACCGAGGCTCCTCGTCCACAGAACTTCTCCGAAACAAAACATTTGCTAGGTATGTGTTCTTACAATCTACGTTACCTACATGATTTCAAGAACATTGCTGAGCAACTACGTGAACTGACAAAGGGAAGAAGTTTATTTGTTTGGGGTCACACCCAACAAATGCATTTGACGAGATAAAACGCCGCATTGCTTCCACACCAGTCATGGCGATTTTCGACGGGACGTGCCCAACGATGGTCTCTACTGATGCATCAAACATTGGGTTGGGTTCTATACTATCCCAAATTCAGAATGGGCATGGAAAAGTTGTCGCATACCCTACCAGAAAATTGGCAGCGGCGGAACTTGATTGCTCTACTGGGGAAAAAGAAGCCCTTGCTTGCGTTTGGACCTGTGAGAAGTGGAATTTGTCCTTGTTCGAAATACCTTTTACTCATCGTGCAAATACGCAGCGCTAACTAGCTTACTTACTCGGGGAACAAATGGTATCAGGACACTTGGGATACATCGCTGGTATGCACGCTTGTAAATATACATTTTCAAATTAAATTCCATCCCGAGTGTGAAAACCAGGCAGCGAATGGCCCTCTCGAATGCCACGCAACGCAACTGAAAACCGTCAGCAGTGCGCATTCCATCGGACCATGAAAGGACTCGAACACGAAACTCGACTGTTGTCAGTCCGTGGTTGAGACCACTGAGCTACGGGGGACGGCAACGACCATCGTGAATAAGTTACTAGATGTGATATAGCGCCGCTCACTATTCACGGACTTGCACGTTACTACCGTGCAGAGGACATGGTAGCCCCATCACCAAGCGATGAATGTACCAAACTTAAGCCGTCACTTAACCCATGGCATTATAAGCAGTTTGGTCTGTGTATTGATTACAGAGGGGTTGCGGGTTCGAGCCCTACCAGGGTCCGATGGAATGCGCACTGCTGACGATTCCCGAAAGGATGAAATGCGCGTACAGTGCTTTTTCGGACGTGTGATGGCTGTCTGAGTGAGTCTAGATGTGACAAATTTCTAGCTATACCATTCAACTCCCCTACTACTCCTCTGAAACTGAAAATAATGAGGATGATGTTGATGAGAAGTTAATGGTGTCTCTCCTGAGCAGTGAACCAATCTCAACTCTGACAAAGAAAGAACTCCAGAAGGCGACTAAGGAAGACGACACACTCTGCCGCGTTCAGGGGTTTCTGTTAAACGGTTGGCCACAAAATAACAAGACCACAGGCGAGTATCATCCATATAGCGTGTTGCGACACAGACTTCCATTTAATGCGCGGCGAAACATTTGTGACTCCACGGAGCTTGATGTACAAGATCTCGCTATGTGCTCAGGAAAACCACCCTGTTATCATTTGTACGAAATGTAAGGTTGACGCATGCTTCTGGTGGCATAGAACGTCACACGAAATAGAAAAACTTGTTCATGACTGCTCTTCATGCCAAAGGGCAGACAAGGGTTCAAGGCCGGTTTCCTCCCCTATACAACCCATTGACTATCCTATGCGACCGTGGGCCAAGATAGCTCATGACATCATGGGTCCATTCAACTCAGCGCCTCGGCATCAAAGAAACTGTTCGGTAGCGATCTGCTTTTACAGTAAATGACCGGAAGTCCATTTATGTGGAGAGGTGATTACTGCAAGCATTAATCGACGGCTGAAATACATGTTCTCACGTTTCGGACTACCAGAGGAGATAGTGACGGACAACGGCCCGCAGTTTACAAGTCACGACATTTTTTCGTTCCTCCAACTTCACGTACAACTCTGTATAATCCAGCGGCAAACGGCATGGTAGAGCGGTTCAATCGATCCTTGAAAGAGAGTATCCAAACCATTCGCCTATCTGGTACAGGTTGGTAGGATGCAGTGCTACAAGCACTTTTTTCTTACCGAACCGCACATCACCGACCCACAGACAAACCACCAGCTGTACTCATGCTTGGGCGTGCGCTTTGGATAAAGTTGAATGCCGCATTTCCGATTCCTGCAACTAATAATTCCGACGAGTTAGATCGTCCCCATCGATATCAGACCACTTACCGGAAGCTTACTACTCCACTCCAGCCCGGAACTTTCGTGAGAGTGAAACTAAACACTGCGTCAAAAGGACAGCCCACGTTAACAGATCCGATAAGAATGACGCGCGCATATGGGCCAGGAGCTTAGCGGCTGAAAAATGGCCGCACAGTCAACGCACGAAGGTTATTCACAAGTAGCAGACAAACGGAGCGTGTGCCACTAACCTTCACTGACGAAACTACGCACAGCACACAGCTCCGCAGGACGGGCCGAGAACAAAGACCACCGAATCGATATGGTTTCGACGCATCACATGATTAAGCGGAGAGTTGATGTTGTGTATAACTCCAGCAAGCGTGATGGCTGGTCCTGACGGATGCGTGCACACAACTCCAGACACACATATAGGTACATAAGTATCTGCTTTGCTTTTGGTTCATCCTTCCGCTTCCGACACCTAATGTACTCACGGTTAGATACCTTTAAGATTACAGTAGTTTTTCTACCGGAGAGACCATCTTACTTTGGCTCATCCATTTGACTTTTCGTATAAAACAAGCCGTTATTCTTTTTTACTTAAGGGATAATCGCTGATCAACCACAAGAGCAGTTTTGGTGGATGAGTGATGTTAAGGCGCTCACAAAACTGTCCGTCGGACGAGATGAAGACAACAGAACACAGAACAAGTGTGCGCTACAGAAACGCACTTTGTTGGCAAGTCAGATATGGTATTTCGGTTCCTTTAGTTCTTTCCCTGGTGCGTAAAATGATTCATGCCGCTCGGAGTTAAGGGTTACTGAACGTGAGCATCGTGAAGCTTACGTTTGCTGCAAAGTGACTGACAACCTAGCACTTATATATAACCCAGCAATTATATGAATTATCAAAACTTCAGTTGTGTTTTGATCCTACTATTATCGCGAAATGCCCAATATCAGCGTTTAGCTTTCATGACCAAAAGGGAAGTAACAAGTGCGCTCTAGATAATTTGACCCAGTCTCCTGCCCACCATTCCGCGTGGATGTTGCTGTTTCTCAATCACTGATTGGTCACCTCTATCGATTTTCCATCGCCCATGCCCTAGCTTAGTTGTATGTACCCGTTTTCGGTTGGCGGTTGGGCGCATAAGCAGGTATATTTCCACAAGTAGTAATCAGTTGAGGCGGCGTTGGCAAACCGCGTTACCTACTCATAAGCAGCATCATAGAACTATTAATATGTGGCTACTTATGCTCGGTAACCCAGTGCAAAGTCTGTTTTTTTGTAAGAACAACGCGGTTTTGAGTTTATAAATACCTATTTTCTAGATTTGGTGCAAATTGTGTTTCCGACCACAATGGCAAATAAAAATTTACCAAGCGGCTTTTTATCAGGTTTAGTCGCATAGGTCATGCGCTCCAAGTTTCGGAAATCTGATGGGAAAAAGATGTGGAACGAATGGTTTCTTACTAAAATGAAGTGCAGTCGCCGGTTCCGATAATTCTGTCATAGTGTATTGCCCGAAAAATCATGTTTGCTTGACTCCGGTAAAGTGCTAATAAGTTGCAGCAAATTGGGTGTTGTCCGCCTGAAACCACTGCATTCCATGACGCGTTTCGAGGTTATTTGCTCTCATCAGGTAGAGATAGCAGGCATCGAACTCGGGACCATTAGGATGTTAGTTATGACCGCTACCCCTAAGCCACCGGGTCACGACGGGCAAAGCTTGGCACAACGGTTAATGACAGATTGGAAAGTCAATTTGAACTACATGTTGTGTGGATCGATTGCGCGTCGCAATCCAATCAGTCCATCCATGACCACTCCGTACTAGGAATGTATACATGTATCAACTGAACCTATTTCCCTGAGCCTTTCGAGAGAATTAGGTTGTTGATAGGGATTTATGCCGGGCTAGCAAATTATTGAGTATGCTTTCAGTTCTGGTCTAGTCGTTCCGAGTGCGGTGGATACACATGAATTAAAGCATTCAAGCGCTTAGCTGCTTACAGTAGTCATAAAAGCAACGCTTCCACTCGATGATGTAAAGTTTGAAATTTGAAACACAGGGTTCGACAATTCTCGTTCGCTTGACCACGTTGAATCATGCGTCTCAAGAAACGTTTGCTTGGAAATCCCGTGGAAAGTGAACAGTCCGGACAAGTAAGTGACTAGCGATTAGCATGGTGATGCAGATGATTCATATTCTGTTTTACCTGTTAATGATGAGATTGAGCATAGCCATATTTTCTGTTGTTCATCTGCCACACTGAACTTATCTGCGCTTATTAAAAGGCAGCCACTATCGGAGTTAGAGACGGAAACGCAGAGGCGCCTGCTAGAAAATGCACTAGAAATGGCCAATCTTCCAGGTAGGCTTAGAAGAAGGCAAGGTCAGTTGTGGTGGTACGTTAGTGCCTTAGTAGTAGCGCACAAAAATAATTGATTAGAAGTGCCGAATGGCTTCACCAGATACGTACGATTCCAGATCGTTATCAAATAGCTCATCACCACAGCAGAGTACACAGTTACATCTGCCAACGAGTGAGTACCTGGATGACAGCCATGCTACTTTCGGGAAATTTGCTAAACATTGTGAACACTTACGAAAGCCGAAGGTTTGACAGTGGGCAGCGGCGCTTACTTGATGGATTTTTTCTGTGGTCGCGCCAAAGAGGCCATCAGCGAAGAGGGGGTTTTACCATCTGCCAATGCGTAAGGTAGAGCAAGAGACGTTCATCGGAAATCTACACTACTGTAGCGCCTACCGCAAGTTCCAGTTATGTCGGTCACGCACCGCAGTCTGAAACTGATTGGATGAGCCTCATCGATGGATCATTATCAAGGGCAATAGGCCTGACTCAATTGTGTGAATAGAGTTTCCAGAGCGTGTCCACCCCATGTTCTGTTTTCGTGAGTGGGTTCCACTCGTAGTGATACAAGACCCTGTTTGCGCAAGGGGTTTAGTGTGCGCATTGGGACAAAACATGCACCTCCATCGGACAGGAGACGTTCGGACCGGCCCAGTCTTAAGCGGCGGCGACACGGAAAGACTCCAGTAAACATCACGTAGCGTTCACACGTGGTGCGACCTCTATCATTTGCAAGCCCGACACTACATACTAAAGACGGCATCTACAATACACTCTAGCAATAAGTCGTCCCTGTTTTACTGTAATACTTATTTTTGTATTATTGCACTTGGTAACCGTATTGTTGTCGTCTACTTCTATGCTAATATCTGTCTCTATCTATTGTTGATTCCCACGCTTTTGAGTAAGTTTACTTATCATTTAGGTTCGCTTCTAAACGTTTAGTAACCTTCGGCAGTTCCTATTGATTACTTATTCTCGTATTTGCGACCTCCCATAACTTGACGAATATGGCTGTTAGTCTGACCTCCAATCCAAACCCATTCATGTTCGTAGTACTATTGTCCATGATGGTTATTGCTTCTTTATTCCGTTGGTGGTAGTTCATGCACAAGTGTGGGAAAATGCATGTGAACATACGTGGATATGCAGAATTCGAACCCCCATTGGACAGTTGCCAAGATCGAGCCTGATGAAGCATACGATGTGCCCCTTCGTCTCAGTCGGGTTAAACTCTACTGTCTGTCGGGCGTGTGCTTGACAAATGAAACCTCCCGTATGATATACCTGGCTGTGCTTGATGTGAATTTTGACAAGACGCCTACCTATCTAACACCCCACCTCAATTATACTGGCTCCAGGAAACAGTTAATCTTTGCTGGGGGGCGGAGTGCACGTTCTCGTGATCGTGTTAGGCTCGAAGAGTGCAAACATTCAGGGTGGAGCGGACTACGGTCTAGCCACTGCTTTGTGTAAGTCTGGTACATATGATTCCCATATTTGTTAGGCAGGAATACTGCTGCAGTGCATATTGATGGAGTGCGGGTCGGATCGGTTGATGAAACGTGGCTCCCATCCACATGCCTCCTTGGGGTTTACACTGGATATGGAGCGTTTGTATGAAGCTGTGGGTGGTGCAGTGCAAGCCACTCATGATCGCTGAGTGGACACAGGCCTCCTGTGACTGTCCTATGGAGGCTGCAGTGACAGGCAAATCCAAATCGGCTGCTGCCCACCATGCAACGCAACACTGTGGGGGAATAGACTCTCTGTAACGAGTGGCAATTTGGATGCCTACTTGACTCAACATAACTACTGCATTCAAATTCCCAGAGCAGAAAATGTGCACGACCGAAAGACTATGGTAAGGATCTTCAATGCTGATGACAAACTACTGTTTACATACATCAACCGTCTTCGAAAGATGAGGCAGGTATTGCCCCGTTTAGCACATTTAATGGCTCAGCAGAAAAGTCCACAAAAACAGCCAACGAGTTGAAGATGAAATAGGCTCCTATATTTCGACCATTTTTACCACCAAGTGGTCCTCTCACATCTCTTGTCCGGCCACCATGGATCAGCTTCTGGTTTATCACCTAGGATATATTGCAGAAAATGATATCTCGGTAGAACTGCAGCTCTCCTTTAGTACATACTGTTTGTCCATAGGCATGGAGAACAGCTGTAAGGAGAGTCACAGAAACGTTAGACTAATTCTTTCAGTGGTGCTTAGATAAGAACCAGGTTTTTACTGTATGGGAGCTTGAAATAGCCACTCTGATTCAGCCAACACTTCGAGTTTCCTCCCATTATCTGTTTTCGCGGTGTTGTCTAATTGTCAAGTTTGGCGAAGGATTCTGAAGAAAACTCAACGAGTGCACAGCGGATGATATCGGTCTCTACAGGGCGATATTATAACGGTGTATCAGATCTTAAAAAACCCCAACCACGCCTACCACCATCTTTTGAAAATTAGCCAAAACGCATGTTCGAGAGGCCATTCGTTTAACCTGCCGCATAGTACAGTTGACTGGGATGTTGACAAACTTTTATCTCGCTAGGGGTATTGCAACCCTGGAACTTCTTCACAACCCACATAGTTCATTCCCTCACCTTATCACTATTCAAAGTCGCGTTGGGATACATTGGTCAGTGCTCATCGAATGTAAGCATTAGCGTAGAACAGGCAGGGCACTATATCAGACTCCCCTATGAGGACAGGCAGGAATACTTGCATCTGTGCTGCTGCAAACCTGAAGAGTTCTGTTAGTTACGCGTTGCCTCATTGATACCGTGTGTCGATCGCGTAGTTTTGACTCTAACTATCCTACGGGACTTGTTAGGCATCTGCTTTTTCACCCACCGTAAACCATTGTTCAACCATGATGTAAATACAACGCCTCATTAAGCAACCTGATCGAATGCAAACTACTCTCCATCTGCAGAGAACGCAAAACTCTTTTAACGTGACCCAGATGTAATGACATTGCGAAAAGACATTCGAAGCCAGTGATTAGTGAGTAGGAATGGCACATACACAGTTCGGTTTTTCGTCGGATACTCAGAGTATATGTTCCTTCCCATGTTGAGTACACGATTCAAGGCTGGCAGCCATGAATAAAAGTCGATTCCATTAGGCTGGAGGAACCTACACAGCGGGCTTCCAAGCACGTCATCGAAATGCGTAACCTCCCATACGAGCAGAGGCGACCTACTAGTTGTTTACCGGATCCTGCAGTCAGTCATGTGTACTGCTTTCTCCGAGGACTCATCAGTCATGTCAGCTTTAGAGGTCACTCCTTGCAACTGTGGAAACAGTAGAGCCGCCTGGAAGGGTGCAGCAAATTTTCTGTTACTGTGTACCATCCTCAGGAAGCACTTCCCAAATCGGCCACTTCCGTAATGACTTTTACCGTACTTAGAATACAGTTGGATGTTAGTTTCTGTCAACTATAATTTCCATTCCGCATTATCGTTCCGTTCCTCCAATGCAAAACCTTGAATTTATTAGGTGTCTGCTACTGAAGCTGTAAACCAACCCGAAGAGGAGAACCGTTGCTTCGCAAACACGTAACAGGATAGATTCTAGTGCTGAGAATTAAGCTATTAGCTGTTTTATTCATAATATCTTCGATAACTTAAACCCGACCAACGGGGCTTGTAGCGCTGTGCTTCTCAATCCGTGTTAAATGATTGTCGACCATTGTTCACTGTTTATCGGTGAACTGCTCAGTTGGTGGAAAACGATTTACGTCCGTTAGTTTCTTATGGTTCTCGCCTACTTGTACGGAAAATATTCCTTACCTCTGAGCAGTGGGGATTTAGAGTAATTGAAGTTCACAATATATGTGCACTTCAGCTTTTGCTCCAGTGATAGCACAGAAGAGATTGTCTCGATGGAGATGCTTTCAATGTACTTTTCTCCTTGCACCGCAATCCACTGTCGACTTCGTGCTATTCCAGTTTCTAGGACAGAGATAGCCAAAGCTGAGTGAGGAATTGAGATGTGATGTCTGACGGTTGACTCGTTCATCGTTATGCTATTGAGTTCCTCAAGTGACGGGTCGCAGTCAAAACACGCAATCCAGTTTCTCTGTGGGGCTACTTTAGTCGCCAATAGATATCATGAACCTAGGTGAAAAGTTTCAAACTCTACCAAATAAACTCTTTTCGGCAAATGGTGCAAAACCTTGACCGCATTGTGCGATCGCCGAGGCCAACAAACTTACCTGTTTGTATTGATTCTGGTAGGCAGCACAAATTTGTTGTCTCTCATGATTAGTCCGGTGAGCTAGGATATCGATTATCGTCTGTTCATCGGTTCCTGCGATGGCGAGAATGGAAGATAAAGTACAGCTACTAGAACGTATCATACATCGTTGCTTCAGTCATGCAAACTACTCATCAAAACAGCAAAACAAATGATACCGGTGCCACACTTGGTTGTTGATACTAGGGGAAAGAACGAGACAATCAACCCAAGCTAACCATTCAGGTCAACGCACCAGCCACGGATCCACTTTATATGTGGGTCCGAACGTTTAAAATTAGCTAGAAAATGAGTGATCAGCCTTGCGGTTTGTGTGAGTGCACTTCGTAGGTAAGTACTGACTTCTACTATGTTAGTTATGCTTTGAACCCAGAATCGCATCAGTTTAAACATTATTCCGGCTTCATTGCATAACACGTAACACATGCATAACGATTACTAGTCCGCTATACAATTCTGGGATTTTCGAATATTGACTTCTAGATATGCCTGGGAACATCTGAACCTCCGACGCGAAACAATGCTTATGGATGTCAATTAGTCGCAGTGGAGATACTGTTCTTTCAAATTTGGAGTACGCGGTAAAGTCCTAGTGAGTGAGCTAGTTTCAATGTTGCGAGAATTGTCCGTAATAGGCTTGCTGCAGTAATTTCAGATTTTATATTTGCAACTTGTTTTAAGTTTCTGTTCTCCACTTCAAATAATTGCTACTTTCGTGTGTGATTCTAGCAAGGCGCTCACAGGATGCTTCGCTTCTCTGTCATTTCGGATAGCATTCACAAATCCACCATGACCTAACTGATGACATCCAACAACACCAAATACTGACACTGAAGTTATATCTTGACAAACGTGTCAACAGCATCATCTAAACCTAGAAAATATATGTTATTAGATTATACTAACTGTGTACCAGTTTTACGGGGTTCACCACCAGATTCCCGTTATACCATATGCAAGTGACGAGCGTAAACTCGGTCAACAACAGTGAAGTAAATAGCGTTGCGGCTGTACTGTACCCTGATCATGAGCTTTGCCTCTAACCTTCCACTTCTGAAGATAGTATCAGCGTTTATGATGTTCGAATGTCGCGATGCCCGTTTAACCTGTCACTACTGCTAAACAGCAGTATGTCGCATGGTTTTCTTGTATAACGCGAAAATCAAGTGGCATTTAACAATTCTCCCTAGGTGCTGTCATTAGTATGAGTAGCAGCGCGGTGTATATTGTATCATGCAAACCGACCTACTTCGGAGCAACCAGAAAATACACACATTATCAAGCTTGCACTAGGATACCCCATAGTTTAGATGTTTAGGAAACCGATGTTTCTGAATTCAACTGGATCCTATCACTAACACTTGAAACGACAACACTTGCACGTGCGGCTCTTTAGATGAAGTGTTTCCAGTTCCTGTTTACCCCTGATCACATTCACTCCTATGTCGGTTTGTCTATGTTCGAAATATACGCTTCGCCCCGATCAACCGTTTTGTCTTAACAGAACCGATTTCTATGATGCGAATAGCGGACAACTGTGCAGCAGAACACAAAAACGATTAAATTTGGCATGAACATACTAGTTGTGGACACAGCAAGCACTGTATACGATAAATTAAACACAGATAGAATGTCTTACTAAAGAATGAGTTATCAATAGACAGAAGTGTAAGCCAGGCGGAACTACGGGGTCTTGACACGTTTATGCACCAAAATTCCTGAGTCCAGGACTAACTCCTTAAGGGGTAAACAGCTAGATGATTTAAAGCAACAAGTTCCTTTGTGATAAAACCGGAGTTTTAAGCCAGTCCGACTAATATAAAGCGCATCACTAGACATCCAACCTCGAATCATTATGGGGAGCCCCGGTTAATGCGAATAACATTGAGATCAATAGATGATGTCGAGACGGTGCTTTTGTCGGCATACAGCCTGCGGACTGAAAACTGTGGAATACGCATATTTCCGTATGTTCCATGGAGCAAACGCCAGCGGGACAAAAAGTAGTTCAAACGGCCACCACACGGAGAACGGCAAAAGAATTATTTTCGTTCAGGGAGTGCCCGAGCTAGTGACAACTTGCAACGAAGAGGCTCACGCTCATGACCTGGAAGAATGGCGATACACCCGTGAAGCTCTCTAAGCGGGCGACGTCATACTTCAGTTGATTACACGGCTACCCATGTTACCAAACTACAGAGACAGTGGCCCGAGGATACTGAAACTAACGATGCAATTACAACAGATGGCCGTGAACTTAATGCGTAGCTGCAACAGTTTTTTGGAACTACGGTTAAAGACAGCAGTTAGATAGTCACAGCCACTCGCTGTTCTCGTGGAAACGACACCATCCGCGACCCAATAAAACCACAACAAACCTTAAGAAAACTGTGCGTTAAGACCCGTAGTTATCGAGAAGACTACAGATTGACTACATACCGCAGGTGTAACTGAGACCAAAAACAGATTACATTCCTACCGAGATTTGACAATTCACCCGGAAAACGATTAGGTGCCGGCCTCTCATTAGTCGGCACAAATCCACACCAGTCATGTGTTCCTAATCAACAGCGTTTGACATCCGAGAAGCTTTCTTGCAGGTATGCCAACGCTCAAGGCTTACTGAGTAAACTTTCCGAAATGAAGCAACGTCAAGGATCAAAGGTCTGTGACCTCATGGCTATATCGGAGACATGGTTAAACTCTGACATAACTGGCATGGAGAGCACACTGTCAGACATGTCCATTGTTCGGCACGACCGACTCAGCGAAGGTGCAGGGATGGCTCTATACTACTGCTACGACATCAAATGTGAGCTTATAGAGGATCTGGTCAGCATGGTGCAAACTTCAATTTGGTGCTGTCTACGTTTAAAGGGAGACGACAAGTGCTTAGTGGCGGTCATTTACCGCAATCCGTCCTCCACCCCAGAGATGGACTCCCATCTGGCATCCGCAATAACGAGGGTGATAAACGCAACTTACAGACACCATCTCATTACGGGCGATTTCAACATCCACGCTCTGGAATCCCAAGCAACTACCGGAGAACAGTTTAAGGCCGATCTACAAGCTTTTGTCTCCAGTTACCCACTGTATAGTCACATCAACACGCCCACCCGATTCCGAGAAAAAAATTAGATCTTCGATGGCGGATCAGACATACACCAACGAAGAACTAATGGTCGAGAGGGTGATCGTCGACGTCTCATTGGGCCGCAGCGATCATGCAATACTACTCTTCGAATACATTTGCTATGCAGAATATCCCGTGGAAATTGCCGACGCAACGAGAACGTATGTACGCTACGACATATTAGCTCGACTAGGTGAGACATCCAACTGAACGTTTCTGGAAGACGAGACAAGCTAGTGCATGGGAACATTTCGTCAGCCAGTTTAGCTCTTTGGCTGCCGAAGCGTCAGCGACTAAGAACTACCGCCCAAGAAACGTGGTCTCGTTTCTGCGAAGCAGGACATGGAAGTGTATTGCGGTGCGAAACTCAGCCTGGCATGTCTATAAACTCTCCTTAAGCGCCGAGAACTGGATGGCCTCTGCGACCCAAGGTAACCACTGTACTCAGCTTGTTCGCGAGGACAGAATGGCTTACTAGCAGAAGTTGGCAGTACGTATGGCCTCAAACCACACGCTTCTGTATCAACATGTCAGAAGTCTACGTAAGGTGACACGGAGAATTCATCCTCTTCAAACAACGGACGGACCAACACGGACACCGAAGGAGGCGGCGAATATTCTGCGCCAACAATATGCTGCAACATTTCAGTGCGATCACTGGCCACCTAACTCTATAACGATGGTTGTTTTAACCCTAAAACGCTCAAACATGCTTCACAGCAGAAGCTGTGCTAAAAAAGCGGTTGGGTATGCGCAAGCACAGCTCACCTGGAGTTGATAATATAAACAGGAACTCATTAGCGGCAGTAGTAGAGAGTTTAGCTAAGCCTTTGGATCGATTCTTCCAACGATGCTTGACAAAGTGTACGTGCCCGACTTGTGGAAACGCTGGATGATTACTCCTATTCACAAGATATTCATTCCCATCCAGCCAAATGCCGTCCCATAATCTTACTACCGGTTCTTTCAAAGGTCATGGAAGCTAGTAGTTCTGATGCGCTGACAGACTACTTGGAAGTACGTAACTACCTCGTACCGCAACAGCATGATTTCCGACGAAATCCTTCGTGCACTACAAACCTACTACTTACATGATCCAGCTGGACTGCAGCGGTAGACTCTGGCACGAAAGTTGAGGTAGTCTTTCTCGACTTCTCAAAGACGTTCGACGGTTAGCCCATAACATTCGGCTCTTCAAACTCCAGACCTTTGGTATTAGTGATCTTCTCTTAGGATGGATCAGAATATTTCTTCTGCACCGGCGCCTGGAAGTACGTGTGCGTGAACCACTGTCAGATCCCATCCGAGTTGAATGCAGAATACCACAAGCATCGGTACTAGGACCGCGATTATTTTTGATGTACCTCAACAATATCACACGTCTCACAAGCTCGAACTACCTGCTTTATGCCGATGACATAAACATGTGGATGGCAATCAATATACCAGATGCTATCACAGTACCTCAAGTTGATCTGGATAGGGTATAGGCGTGGTCAATCCAGAATCTACTTGGATTCAATGTAGACAAATGTAGAGTGCCTCACCTAAGGCACAAGTTGGTGTACTCCTACAAACTTGGCAACCAGGAGCTTCAAACAACTTCTGGCGAGATGGATCTGGGGGCTTTGGTCCACGTCGACCTAGGATGTTCGAAACGGGCTGAAACGGCGTCAAGACGAGGCATCCAACACGTGGACATCCTAAAGCGTGCATTCGGACGACTCGACCCTTCGATTTTTCCACAACTTATGGAATCATACATACGGCCACATGTGGAATACGCACTACAGGTCTGGCAGCAAAGGCTCAGGAGAGATCTCACCGCTTTGGAGATACCCCAACACCGGGCAACCAAGAATGTCAAGAGTCTGTATAGTTTGCTGTTTGAATGAAGGCTTCGATTTCTCAAAGTCTT